AAGTACTCTCTATACCCAATATGGGGCTCGAACTCACAACCCCCAAGATCAAGAGTCACATGTTCTTCTGACTGAGCCAGCCAGACACCCTTAAATTTTTCAACTTACAAATACTTAACGCTGGTAGCCAGCCTCCAAGATGGCCCCCAATGGTCCTCAACTGCTAGTATGCACACCCTTGTGCCGTCCCCTCCAACACTGAATACGGGTAACCTGTGTAACCAATAGGATAGTGTGGAGATTATGGGTGTATGACTTCTGAAGTTAGGTCCTAAAAGACACCATGACTTCTATCTTGCCCTCTTTTGGATCATTTGCTCTGCGGGAAGCCAGCTGTCATGCCATGAAGACACCCAAGCAGCCTATGGAGGGGTCAATGTGGCAAGGATCTGAGGCCTCATGCCAACAGCCACGTGAGGGGACCTTCTTGGAAACACATCTTCCAGGCCTAGTGGACTGTAATCTAGGCCAATATCTTGACTACATTCTCTTGAAAGACCTTGAGTCAGAACCATCCGAAGAAGCCATTCCAGACTGCTGATGCACAGAAACAGTGGGCGATAGATAACTAAAGTTTATTGTTTCAAGTTGCTCAATTTGGGGGGTTATTTGGCAATAGATAAAGAATATGCTAACTGATGTGCTCAAAGACACCTTCCAGAGCAAAATGCATCAGCTTTTATCCATCAGGCATTTTCATTTCAGTTACGGGATTATTATAGTCCATATCTTGCTTGGTAAATTTGTGTTGGGTTTTTGAGATATTTTATGAAGGTTGTCATTCCATTTTATCTAGGAAACACAAAAGCAGAGCTGAAAGGAAGAAGCAAAAGACAGAGACGGAAGTGGGGATCAGAACAAAAGCTGAAAGTGATGAGAGAATTACAAAAAGTGCACGTGCCTAAGGGATGGTTACGTTCAGTCACCGTGACTCTAAAGGACAGAGGGCAGTGGCAACAGGTAGAACACGTCCACCATCAACAGCAATCAACAAGCAATGAGGAAAAGCAGTTGATGACATGGAGAAATCTTAGAATCTGGTGCCTAAAGGATCAGCACCAACCAAAGATTGGCTGCCCGTTAGCTTTTTGAGGCTCAGGGCTTATTTGAGGACTTAAAGACGAGACCTAGCAAAGACCCACCAGAGGCTCACTGGGGATGGCTCCTTGGCTTGAAGACCCGTACTGATCTGCACAGCGTCAAAATGAGCAGGAGATGCAAATATCTTCACTGCCAAGGATTCTCCACTGCACCTGTAGGGAGAAGGCTTATCTGCCTCAGCAGATTTTTCAATGTGGACACTTCCTGATAGAATACATAGTTATACTATTTCAAAGAACAGACTCACTCATTAGTAGAAATGCCTTTGGTGACTGATCCTGACTTTTTTTTTTTTAAGATTTTATTTATTTATTTGACACAGAGAGTGAGAGAGCACAAGCAAGGGGAACAGTAGAGGGAGAGGGAGAAGCAGGCTCCCTGCCAAGCAGGGAGCCTGATGAGGGGCTCAATCCCAGGACCCCGGGATCATGACCTGAGCCGAAGGCAGACACTTAACCATCTGAGCCACCCAGGCACCCCGACTGATCCTGACTCTTACTCATACATTCATTCAACAAATATTTATTGAGCTCCAAGAATGTGCTAGATACTATTCTAGACACTAAGGCTTTGATGGTGAACAGGAAATTCATAAAGTTTCATTTTTGTTTTTAATGGGGGCAAAAACAGTAAGCACGTAAACAAAATAGGTAACAATGTCAACTGCTATTAAGTGCTATGAAGAAAAAATAAAGCAAGGTATGATAGAATGAGTGGGGAGAGTCTTCTGCTATTTTCAGAAGACTGGTCGGGAAAGGCTCGTTAGGGGAAGTGTTATTTGAGTCACCTCTTAGTAACTGTAGGTTTACCAATGTGTAGGCAAGAAACTGACTTTGAAACCTAACCTGTTCATAACCAGACCACATCTGTAGTTCAATGTGGCTGCAGCTTAGAAGTGAAGGATGTGTGCAGGGAGAGGCTTGGTCCATGAGATGAGTCTGAAGAAGGGAGCAGTAAACAAATCATAAGGGGTTTTATAAGCCACAGTAACTAGCTTAGGCTTTATCTAGAGGACAATGGGGAGCCACAGAAAGGTTTTAAGTTGGGGAGTGAAAGGATCAAGATTATTATCTTAGATAATCACTCTTGAGGGCTGCCTGGGTGGCTCAGTCAGTTAAGCATCTGACTTTGGTTCAGGTCATGATCTCGGGGTCCTGGAATGCAGCCCGAGTCTGAGTCAAGCTCCACTCTCAGCATGGAGTCTGTCTCTCTCCCTCTGCCCCTCCCCCCCGCTCATGCTCGCGCACACTCTCTCTCTCAAATAAATAAAACCTTTTTTTAAAAAAGAAAATTACTCTCGATATAGGGTAGAGACATCAACCTTGAAGGGAGGGGAAATGGTTAATAGGTTGCTTCTGCAATGACCCAGACAGTAATCCAAATTAAATTAAAAAGGCAATGGGGCTAGAAGGAAGGCAACAGAAATGAAAGGCAAGATCTGGTGGTTGTAGAATACGAAGAAGACAGAAGAATGATGACAGGGAGAAAGGTAGGCTCATTTATTGAGAATGGGAAAGCAGAGGGTTGAGGCAAGTGAAAGAAGATGAATTCAGTTTGGGACGAGTTGAGTGTGAGGTATCTACAGGACATCCCAAGTGACTGTAATAAGAAGTTGCACATAAAGGTCTGGGGCAGAACTGTGTCTGAGATAAATAGGTTTGGGAGATGAAGTGGTCATTGAAACCAGGAGAGGACAGATAGGTCATCTTTATTGAGTGAAAAGTAAAAAGGGTCAATGGCAGAACTGCAAGGAAAGCCAAAATTTATGGGATTGGCAGCAAAAGGGCAGAGACAGTAAAGAAAAGACACAAAACACAAAGACTGATCAGAACCAGTGAGAATCATCAGTGAGATGTGGGGCATTGTGATTTCACGGTTCCATCTGGTCAACTGGCTTGTTCTGTGGAAGCCAGTCACTTCCCCATCTTTGACCCCCTGACAAAGCTGTTGTTCATTTAGCAAATTTTATTGAGCCTCTACTATGTGCCAGACACTGTTCTTGGTGCTAGGAACACATCTGTGAGCAAAAAAGAAAATGCCCTGACTTTAAGGAGTTTACATTCTAGCGTGGGGAACATATAAGAAACAAACATTAAAAATAGGTAAATATTACAGGGTGGTAAATGCCAAGCAGAAAAAAAAAAAAAAAAAAAAACCAGTAGATTAAGGGGCATCAGGAGTATAGAGAGAGTTTGTAAGCAATTTCCAGTGGGACAGAGTAGACCTCATTGACTCGGTGATACTTAAGCAAAACCTTGAAATTTGCCAAGTAGGTATCTGGGGGTAGAGCATTCCAAGCAGAAGTTACAACCAGTGCAAAGGTCTTGAGGCAAGAGCAAGCTTAGGAAGTCCCCAGGCAGTGAGGAGTGTTAGGGTGCTAGGGAGGAGATCAAAGAAGAAATAGGGGAGCATCAGGCAGGATTTTAGCCTTTGTTCTGAGAAAAATGAGGGACTCTGGAGAAGGTTTCGAGCTTAAGAGTGACATGTCTAAGGTTTTCTAATAGGGTCAGTCCGCTGCATTTAGAGTAGATACTGAGTGGCAAGGGCAGAAGCAGGGAGGCCTGTTAGGAAGCCAGTGCAGAAATTGAGGCAAAAGTTGACGGCGCCTTGAGCCAGGATTATAGCCGTGTGGGTTTCCGGATAGTCTGGAAGTGGGATGAAAGGGAAAGAAAAGACGAGAGTAATACCAAGGCTTGTGTCCTAAACAAAGGAAAAGATGTAGCCATCAACTGAGACCGAAGACTCTGGGAGGAGCAGGTGGGTTTTCTGGGGTGTGTGGGGAGTGAGGGAGAGAAGGGTAGGGATCAGGAGTTCAATGTCTGGACTGGTTAAATTTCTGATGTCAATCCAAGTGGAAATGTCCAGCAGGAAGCTGCCTGTACGAGTTTAAAGATCGGGAGAGAAGTCTGAGCTACAGGTCCATGAAGTTGCCAGCATATAACTGGTATTTAAAGCCGCAGGGACGAACAAATACACAGTATGGAGTGGGATGCGTGCTGCCAAGAGCAGGAAAGGGAGGAGGGAGTGGGAGTGCCTGCGCGCGCGCGCGCGTTTGTGGGGGGTAACTTTATGAAATATGGCCAGAGGAACACCCGCCTTCCGGCGCTGGGCGGCAATGGGGCGCCCTGCACGCGATGCAGGAGGCCCCCCGGGCCAGGGCAGGGCGCCGAGGCGGCAGGGCGGCCCACCAGGCCCACGCCCAGGCTCAGGGCCACGGTTCTCTCGCCCGCTTCCTGCCGGTCGGCTGAAGCCGAAACTCCTCTGCCGGGTATTTTCAGCTTCCTCCCCAAACGAGTGAGCTGTGAAGATGGGGGGGCAACCCGAGGAAACGGCCACAGCGCAGACTTCATTCATACTATACAGCTCGACTGCTTTAGAGTCGATCTTAATAACTGGCAAACTCGTAAAAGCAACACAATCACAACTTTTACGATGACACGAAAGCCCGGGAGGCCTCCCTTCCGCGCGCGAGCCGCCTCGCCGGCGTCTTTCGGAGGTAACAGCCTTTTTCTTCAATCGCTCCATGGAACCCCCAGGGCGGGAGGCCTCCTCCACTACGGGTCGAAGGATAGGTCAAGTCACGCTGCGCGAACAAGGCTGATCGAGCGCCACAAAAGGATTCGCAGGGCGGGGCGACCCCACGACTCTCTCTCTTGTTTTCATTGGCTGCGATCGCGAGACGCTCCTCCCGGACTGGCTACTTGGGAGCCTCGGAGACGGCAGCAGCCCGCCCCTTGGGCGCGCGTGCGCACGCGTGGCGGGTGCTCACTGCACTGAGCAGGCGCGGCCTCGTGTCGGCTGAAGGGGCGGGTGGAGCGGCGCGCGCTGCGTCCCGGCGCTCTGCTTTCCCTGCCGGTCCCGCCCTCCGTCGCGGCGGCGCGGTGTATTTTGGGATAGGGAGCGATCTCCGAGCGAGGCAGCAAGATGGACGCGGGATTCTTCCGCGTAAGTAGAAGCGCGGGGATCTGGGGTGAGGTGAGGGGCTTATCAGTAAGGCCCGGGGGGGGGGCCCTAAACTCGGGACGTTTGTGGCCAGCGAGGGGAGGCTTCGAAGATCCTGATGATCTTCCGTGCCAGCGGACGCTCCCCCCCTGCCCTGCGGCGGAGACCGGTGCGCCCCTGCGCAGTCTCCTCCTCCGGGATCGTCCCCCCTACGCGGCAGCGACGGTCGCCGGAAAATGGCGGCGGGAATGGGCCGGAGTGGTACCCCGCCGCCCGCCTGCCTGGTGGGGCCTGCAGGCCGAGCCGCGCGCGCCGCCCCGTCCTGGGGCCTAGTTGGGCCGCGAGGAGGAAGTCCCTGTGGGGAGGCCGGAGGGAAGCCCTGAGGTGACTGGCGGAGGAAGGATTCTGGAGAGTACGGTTTTGGGGGTACCGCCCCAGGAGAGCGTGTTAGGGAGGACAGGAAACGGCGTTCAGCGGCTTTTCTTGAGAGAACAGCGCCGAATCCACCCCCCCCCACCCCGTCCTAAGTCTTCGCGGAGGCGCGGGGTCAGAGTTCGCGGGAACTCCCGCCCAATTTGATATTCCTTTAGGGAGGGGAACTCCGATAATAGGTAGTTGGAACGTTTGAATCTGAGACTAAGGGCAACCGGTGCAACAAAAAGCGTGCACGTGTATGGAGGCAGGGGCCGGGGGTGGATCAACTCTCCTTCCCGCACACCGCCCCCCACCCGCGTTTGTTCTACTGTTTTGAAGTCCGCTGGAGAAAAGGGGCCTCTTACCTTGGTTCTCCCGGGGCCGCGCGTCCAACACCTGCAGGCGGGGAAGCTATCTCGTCGAAGTTGGTGCTCAGGGCCCAGACTTTACCAGGCTGGTACTGCTGGAACCTGTTTGTCCCATATTCCACTGCTGTAGGAAATGATTACCGAGTAGATACCTAGATGGGTGGGAAGTGACACTAACAGGACTAAAGTTTGCGAATGCTTTTGATGCAGAACGGACCATATGGAGACCAGTGGTTTTGGTCAAAATCTATACTTTATGTAATGTAGGTTGGCTCTTTCCACTCCCTGGAGCGTATAATTCGCAGTTTGCGTGTTTTTAAAGGGAAAGTTGGAAGAGGGGGAAGACCAAGACTTTAAAGAACGTAACTCTTGACATTCTGAAGTCGACATTGAAATTCCTTAATTGGCTTTAATTGTGCCAACTAGTTTTTCATCAAAAATCCCAGGATTATTCCAAGCACCTACTTAAAATAGGCAGTTTGTTGGTAGGCTGTGCAAGCGATACTGTAGTTATTTCTGTAATGATAGCCTGAATTGAGAGAGCTTATCAAATTTCCATTCTGTTGATGAACTCGTTTTCTAATTTCCATCAAAGTATTTTGTAGTAAGTACTCAATATTCCCATGATCCAAGTGTAATATTTTGACACAAAAGCCTATTCTTAGGATTTTTGTTGGCTGTTATTTCCAATGGAAGGGAGTTCCAATAGAAAAAGAACAAGGCAGTTGATAAATTTTAAAACGTTTGCTTTTGGTGTTAGTAAAAATCTGGAAGAAGAAGGTGTGGGTTTTTATATACTACCTATTATTCCTTAGAGGAGTTGACTGGATTTAAACTCCAGTTAAAAGAATTTAGGGAGTTACCTTGTTAGTACAGGCAACCAGATAGTAAACTGAATTTTTCAGTTCAGATAGTAATGATAGCTTTCATTTGCTGAATTTCTGCCACATGCCAGTTACTTTACATACATTATTTTTGAGATACACAGCCCTTGCAAAGTAGATTTTAGCAAGTAAGGAAACATTCTCAGAGGTTAAGGAACTTTGAGTCATATGGCTGAAGTTCTTGGCAGAATTGGGGTTCTAATCCAGGTTCTTTACCTTCCTAAACAGAATTTTTTCTTGATCACTTTCTAAGGGACAGTGGCCAACTTAGTGCAATCAGTAGATTTCACATCACATAGCCAGCTATTTTGGTTGTTTGGTCCAGTTGGAATGACAAAATGCAGACTAATTAGTGATCACTTAATGGTCTCAATTAGTATTTGTAAGCTCTCATTTGTCCAAAATCATTGCTGCAATTAAGTGAGTTAATTAAGATAAACCTGTATTTTTCATGCATTCCAAGTTCTTAAAGTTGTGAAAACTGACTGAGTCCTCGGGTGTTTTCTTTTTCCTTTTCGCCCTGTTTATATGCATTGCCACAATAATTTTGTAAGCATGCTACTGGTTGTCACAAGAGGATGAAATTTAATGGTCTTGTTTGGATGTATATATTAAGTATAGTAAATATTTCAATTTGTTCGCATTTATACAAAACCTTAAAAGTCTTTTAACATAGAAAAAGGTGTAAAAAGATACACATCAAATTTGGTTGTGGGGGAGGTGCTAGCTTTGTGTTGTATACTGCTATACTGTTTGATTTGTTACAATGAGCTTATATTTTGTTTGTAATT